CAAAATAAAAAAAAAAAAAAAAAAAAAATGAGAAAAAGAAATAAAAATATGTATTTAAGAAAAAAAAAAGTTCTGTAGTGACTCATTGTTTTATTCTTGAAACAAAACGGTAAATCACATGTAACCTCATGTGTCTCTGCAAAGTGCTAATGCATTGAAATTGAGATGGCTGTGGTTGGCATTTTAGATATCCTGTATTTTGATTGTTGAGAGAAAAGAATTTGAAGAAAGAAATTGAATTCTTATTTGTTGAAAATAGCCATATGAGTGGCTTTGCCACTTACTAGTTGTGCAACTCTGGGCAAATTACTTAACCTCTCCCCTATAGGGTTGTTGCTAGGGTGAAATGATTTAATACATGGAAATCATACAATGCCTGGCATATAATAAGCATTTGATAAATTTTATCTATTATTATTGAAATCATTAGATTATACAATAAGACTTTATAATATGCATACAATAGAAAACAATATCATTCTTTTTTCCCTACTGCCCTTCAAATCTATTCTTAGAGATTTGTCTTTTTACTTGTCCCTGGTGAAATACAATGGACCCTGTGGCTTTTGTAGTAACCTTCAGGGAAAAGAAAAGTCATCTTCTTGCTTTATTACCTCAAAGTGTCTCGGTAAAATAATGTGTAATAATAAGAATTATTTTTTTAACTCTAAGAAATGCACTGCAAATTAATACCTTTTGCCTTCCAGCTCATGCTTAATTCAAGCTGGCCTCTTCTATAGGTAGAAGAGGGACCATAAGCTGTTTCCTCTGATTCCCTGCCTTTGATTCATCTATGTAAAGCCAAGGGAAGGGAAGGAGTTAAGGGCCAGGCAAACTCTGGTTCTGTTCAGCAATCTAGCATTGGTATAGGTGCTTGACACTGACTCTTTCCCTCATGGGGTGCTTTTTAGGGTCCTTTGGAGAACTCTCTCATCACTGGGAATTTCTCACAGCAGTCCTTGATGACAGACAATTACATCTCCTCTGCCATCCGAGAGACTAGGCTCTTCTTGCCGACATCTCCTCACCCCTTCAGCAGGTCTCTTGGTCATGATGTGAACCAATACCATGATATGTCTCTTTCTCATTCCATACTGATTCATGGGAAGCCCTTCATATTCTTTGCTCTTACAAGAGTCAGATCCATCCCAGTATAGTCTCCTCTCTTGCTCTACCATAAAAACAGCTAGCCATCCAGTCCCTCTTACTTTAGGTTTCCCAGATATGGGCCTGAGATTAGTGTACTGTGTCCCCAAGATTTCCTATTGATTGGTGCCATTGGAGCCACTGACCCTAGGCATGAAATGAGGAAAGAGTGCCCTTCTATGTGAGGACATTGTACACTTCAAAAATGCTCTTCAAATCTGCTACCTGTTTCTTGGTTTCTGCAATACATTTTAGAAGCCACAGGAAGTCACCAATGGATTACAAAACTAATTCTTATGTATATCCTTTGCAAGTCCTGTTTTAGTAGTTTGACATCTCACTTCGGAATGAGGGAAGAGTCAACATCTATTAGGCCTGGGCAGAAACTGAGACAGAAAGAGTCCAATTTTAACATTCTGTTACATTGTGATGACAATAATTGTTATTTGAGATGATCAGTATGTAAAATGGACAGCATGTATTCTTTCAGTGTTCCCAGTGTTATCTCTACTTAACAATAATTAGCACTGTATACCATTAGAAATTACGAAGAACCAAGGGCAAAATGTTGTTTACCACATGTATTAATCATTAATTTTATTAGTAGAACAACTGTGACAAAACGACCATGCTTAAATTTCAGCCTAAGCAGAGAGCTTGGGCTACTTGAAATAAAGAGTAAATTCTCTGGTGGGATTTATGTATGTATTTTTTTGCAATGATGATAAGATGATAGGTAGGAAAATCATAAATTCACTCAATTTGTTGTTCCTACTACATGATGTCAAATAACTTAAACAATGAATAGTTCACTAAATATCCAACTTTCTGGCAGAATTGATTTGTTCATTTAGTGCTCAGTAGGTGAGTAGATTTTTTCAGTAGACTTTTTGAGATTTAGTCCTTCAAAGATTCTAGTTATTAAGGAAAGGAACTTCCATAACAATGGTTTGTGTCTTTGTTGGCCAGTGGTTGATTGATTTAATAAAAAATACTAATGACATATTCAACTCCAATAGAAAGTAGTGTTGTCAATTTACATGTGAATCAAAATTTTGCTTAACATTCCTATTTCAAAGATGTACCATCTTTTTTCAACTTTTAAAATATGTGATTCATATATACTCCAAATGGAAATTTGTTTAAAGCAAAAGTCCTCAATTTTTTATTACAGATCCCTAATAGTTAAAAAATTTGAAATGGATCTACAATATGTATTAGTTTATTTATAATATATGTGTTAGTATCCTAGTAGATTATGTACATAACAAAACACAAGGAAAAATAAATAAAAAAATAAAATTTTAGACTAAAGAACCAAATACTTAAAAAATTAATTATAAATATAAAAAATATTTTTCTGGCTAACAAAGTTTCTAGAATAAACCTTCATTTTCTTCCTTCTACTGGAACCCTAGTAAAAAGCTTACAGAACTGTTTCCAAGGCCTAGACAAAAGTAGTCAGCAATTTAATAACTTTAGAGACATGGCATTTGGCAGGAAATTTGTTTTTGCATATGTATTTTGGTTATGTTTGGTTCTGATTATATTAATGTTAATATTAAATAATACTTGGAATATACAAGTACTGATATTGTTGAGAAGTAAACCATTTGACTGATATTCATGCATTTTTCAGGGTCAACTGGATTTGTTTTCTGAAGATATATAAACAGATTTAATGTGTCTGGCCTGGAATGGAGGCATGGCAGCTCTATCTTTCCCAATTCACATTTAGGGCAGTTTTGAAAATATTTTTTCTTCTGGAATAAGGTTCAAGTAGCATAGAGTCACAGAAGATAAACTCTCTTGCCTCTATGTCTTACACTAATACATCAATATTCCTTGGTTTAACACTTCTTCCAATATTATTCTAAAAGTGGGGAAAAACTTTGCTGGAAAACCTCGCTCCCTAGGATTCAAGGAATTTGGAAAACATCACCATAGCTGTAGAGCTCACATCTATCAACAATAGGAAAAACAACCCATGAGCTATTTTGAGGCCTTATTTTTTGCCTAGAGCTCAAGTAATAGACTCCTGGTTATTTTTTATTTTTATTTTTATTTAATTTTTACTTAGTGCAGGAAAGATTTCACAACATATGACCAGGTGATTTTTCAGAATACCTTTATTAAAGCTGGGGACAGTGAAACAAGGAAGGGCCTAGGATAGAAGAAGCAACAGGAGAGAACCTAGGTGGGGCTGCTTTGGCTCTCTAGAAACATTACGGGAAAGAAGTGAGACAAGGCGAGGCTGCTGTCAGCTCCCTTGAAAGTCAGAGAAAAGGGGCTTAGGGGGTTAGCCTGGGACAAGCTGCCACTGCCCATTGTTCTCTTGGTTGCAAGTCTTGTGGAGGTCCTTCGAGTTTAAGAAAAAGAAAATTTACTCAAAAAGGAGATTTGAGTGGGTGTGGCCCAAGGAGGCACAGAAACTCCTGGTTATCTTGCAGCCCACAAAATGCCCCCAAACTGCTACACATAAGGGATTCAATACCCTGCCCCAATCTCAGCCCCTGTAGGGTTTTGTGGTATGTACTCTCTTATAAACAGAATTACATGTTTCATTTAAGAAAATATTATAGATCTTAGAAGTGTTGTTGTTGAGTCGCAGAGCAAAAGAATTAGAAATAAAAATTTTGCAGGGAGTCCTAGCCGGCTTGTCTCAGTGGTTAGAGCATTGGCCCTGCGAACTGAAGGGTCCCAGGTTCAATTCCGGCCAAGGCCATGTGCCTCGGTTTCAGGCTCTATCCCTGTCCCCGGTCGGGGTGCATGTGGGAGGCAACCAATCGATGTGTCTCTCTCACTTTCTTTTTCTCCCTCTCTCCCTTCCAATCTCTCTGAAAAGCAATGGAAAAAATATCCTTGGGTGAGGATTAAAAATAATAATTAAAAATTTTTTGCAGGGAAGTAAACTATTTTCTCTACTTTCCTTGCAAGGAAAATAATGGTGAAAGAGGAAGCCCAACAACCTTTAGCTACTTCAAAAAACCTCCAACTTCCAGCTCTTACTATCCAAACAGAAGACAAATCGGGGTTTTCTCAAAGTTGTCCTTATACACTTTTTAAAATTTCTAAGTTGGAGGTGTGGTTAGAGTTCAGTTTGGGGTTAAGGTTAATGTTCTTTTACTTGCTGCTCTTTTATTTCTACACTGACAGATTTGAATTAAAAAGTAGAAAGAAGACACAAACATCCTACTTAAATCTTCCTTTTTGTCCAGACCTTTCATTTTCAAATTTATATAGCAATGGAAACTTTATTTCAAATTATTTTTCTTAGACCACAAATGATCAGGAGAATACCACTGTTGTGACTCCAGTCTCTACATGGCAGCCACTGATAATGTCCTCACTTTTATTGCCCTGGAATTGGACCTCCAATAAGTGTTAGCAGATAAGCAATTTTTAAATAAATACAGACAGTTCTGGCTTTGAACAGTAGTGTGGGGACTGTAAATAACCATTAAATCTGAATAATCAATGGGAAAAATCACAATTATTCTGTGACTTTTAAAATTTTGTCAAAACTTTAAAAAGTCTCTTATCATCAGTATAAATATATGGTAAAATTAAAAATAGTAAAACTGATATACATTTAGTACACTACAATTTAAAACATTAAAAACATTGAGAGTTATAATGTTTAACTTCTTTGTAAAAATTGTCAATAGTACTTTGAATAGTGCATGCCATCTTC